GGTTTGTCCTGGAGAGGGTGAAGCCAGAGTGTTCCCTGGAGTCAAGGATTCTGAAGCTTCGTCTGACATATTTTGGGCATGTTGCAAGGAGGGACTGGTCCTTGGAAAGGGACATCATGCTTGGCAGAGTGGATGGGAAGCGAAGGAGAGGAAGACCTTTGATGAGATGGATCGATTTTGTGACTGGAGCAGTGGGAATAAGTGTGTTTGAGATGGCTAGGTTGGCACAGGATAGAATGAATGGCATTTAGAGCTCTTGTACATAGGGTAGCTATGAGTCACAAGTGACTCGATGGCACATAACAATAACAACAACATCGTCTAATCCAATCTGACTGGCACAGGAGGACAGTGCCCTTCCTTCTCCAGTGGAACATCTGGTCCAATCCTTGTTGGATAATTTTCAGCAGAATCTTGCTTGCTTAATGTCTATCAGAACAAAATGGTTTCTCTCATGCTAACATAAGGAGTTCTGGTGGCCTAGTGGTAAGAAGCTGTGCTGCAATCCCAAAGGCATGCAATTCAAATCTACCAGCTGCTCTGCGGCAGAAAGATGGGAAATCTCCTCTTAAGTGATTAACTGCCTCTGAAAACCCACTGGAGGGTCAGCAATGGGTTGGTTCTGACTCGACAGTACACAACAACAATGCTATTATATAAAATGGCTTCTCTAGTGCTTAACAATCAAGCTGCTACTACACTTGGAGAAGTCATCATGCTTGGAAAGGTGGAAGAGGACCAGCAAAACACAAGATTCTTAACCAGATGAGTTGACATGGTGACTGCAGCAATGGGTTCAAGTGTGTTAGAAATTGTGAGGATGACACAGTATAGGACAGGGTTCAGACTGTTGTTCAAAGGGTCATTATAAATATCCTACTTGATAGCACCTAACAATAACAACAACAACTTTTCACTACAACCTAAGAAAAAATAAAGTGAATGCTCTTTCCTATAACATTTTCAAAGGGAAGAGGCTTTCCTCTTAGCTTAGCAGATGCAATTGACAAGCTTCCTTACAAAAACATTTTTATGTCATTTGTCTGTCTACCCTGCAATCTGTAGCTGGAAAAGATTCCTTTTTTTGTATACAGTGGGTGTAAAGCTGCCTTGGGACATTAACAAGGCTAGGTTACAATCACCAAGTCCCAAATACTTAGACTAAAGAAAAATACGGGGAAAATGTCTACATTTCACTCTTTGCTCATTTCCCTCCATAAGACCTCACAGTCACCAAGACAGTGAGGCAAAATTTGGGAAACGTATATCTCCTATCTCCTTATATACTGGTTTATAAGAAAAATTCTGCTTTTTCCACTCCAAATCCTGCCTCCAAGATTTGTTTTATTGGTGGAAATGTTTCTCCAGTGATAGTGTATTGCATCTATTTGCCTATAATGAGAAAAGCACTTGGAGAATGAATTAAATATCCCACACAGGTTAGATCTTGGAGAAATGAAATATTGTCTTTGAGGTACATGTCCCAAATCAGTACAAAAGCTAAAAGGACTGCATTGGAAAGGCCATACATGGGTGTCAGTTTCTTGTCAAAATTCCACACTGCAATGAAGGCTCTCATTTTGGATAGCTTTATTTACACATACCCAAAGTGCCTCTGAACTTTTCCTCATGGTCCAAGAAAGCAAAGGGAGCTTTTCTGGACTATAAGAAAAAAAGCTGAATTATGAATATTTTGGGAGAGAGTAGAACAGGTAAAAGCTTTCTTAAATGAAGTATTGCTGTGTGTTTTCACTAATTTTTTGTTTCTGAAAGACAACATAAATAATATGAAAAAGCAAATATCAAAAGGGAACAAAAAGACATGTTTTACACATATTGCCAGGTTTTCTGTGGAAAAAAGATGGGCAGTCTCTCTGTGTCCATGTCCAGCTCTGGAGACTCACTGGAGGAGACAGTGTGAGTTGAAACACACTTGATGACAATGAACTCGTGATTGAAAGCTGTCCACTAAGTGCAGGCTCCTAGCAAAGCTGTGCATGGTCTCTGCCCTGTGTGAAGCCATTGTTGTGGTCACTGTATTGGTCCATGTGACTGGAGGTCTTTCTCTCTTTACTTGACCCTTTGCTTTTCTAAATATGATATCTCTTTCCAAGAACTGACCCCATCTGATAACATGCCTACAGTATGTGAGATGTACCTTCCTTGTTTCTAAGGAGCACTCTGGCTATATGTTTTGCAATACAGATTTGTTTGTTTTTTTGGCAGTTCATGGTATAATAAATAGCTATTGTCAATATTACAATTAAAAGGCATCAGTTCTTCTTCCTCTTTGATCTTCCTTACTCATTGTTCAACTTACATATGCATATAAAACAATGGGTGCACGTCAGTCCTTAAAGTTACTCCCCTTCACCATAACACGTTAACAGGATCTTTTGCATCAGATTTGTCCAATGCAGTAAATATTTTTCCCCCCTTCAAGTCTCTAATGAGTGTCTAGGGAGACCTGGATAAAGTGTTGCACTGCAAATTCATCCAGAAAATAATTAAGTTCTATTACCAAGATCACACTGAAGACTATACAATGGGTCATACTCTACTTGACAGCACCTAGCAACAATGACAAGATCAATAAGCAACAACGAATAGTGAAGTTGTAAAGGTTTTCATTTTACTTATTTCCACAATCAGTGCCCCTGGAATCAGAAGTAAAAAAATCAAATGAGGAAACGCCAAACAGTCTTCCAGAGTGGTTGTACCATTTTACAATCCCACCAACAATGTGTAAGTGTTCCTATCTCACCATATCCTCGCCAATATTTATTGCTTATTGTTCTGTTAAATTTTGCCACTGCTACTGGTATGAGAAGTTATCTCATTGTGGTTTTGATTTGCATCTCTCTTATTGCCAGCAATTTTGAGCATTTCTCCATAGGTGGTTTGACAAAGAATGTTAATGTCTAATAAAAATACAAAAATGTTCATAGCCACTGTCTATCAAAAGAATGAACTCTTACAAGAACGACATAACAGCATCGTGTGATCATTAGTTTCAAAACACCACCAAATACCTTTGGGTGGGAGAAGAGGAATTGAGTATAACTGCTAAAAGTTAATAATGGTGATTTCTGAGATGTTTCTCTTTGGTTTTCTTGGGTTTGCAAATATCACCTTTCTTATTGGTTTGTATACAATAATTCGTTTATACAATCTTCCATTTTCATTGTGTTTCGTACATTCATATACATGAATCGTCTCGTTTGCACCCAGGGAAATTCCCACATTGTGAGGTCGGGCTACTCAGTGGGACAGGTGCAAGCAACACAGGTAACTTTAGAGGAATTCAGCTGTTGCCACCCGAGCGCTATTGCTGGGAGCGTGCGTCGGGGGCGGGGCCTTGAACTGCGTTAGGGGCGGGGCTTTGAGTTACTACTTGGGCTCGGGCTTGAGCTGCGTCGTGGGTGGGGCCTCGAGCTGCGCTGGGGTGCGACCTTGGGTTATGTCCGGTGGTGCCTTGTGCTTTGTCCGGAAGCGGTGCTTTGGTCTGCGTTAGGGATGGGGACTTAGTCTGTGCCGGGGTCTGGGTTTTGTGTTGCATCTGGGACGGGTTTTCAGCTTGTGGGGCGGGGCCTTGTGCTGCGCCGGCGGTGGGGCCTCGTTCGTTTTGGGGCGGCCCTTGTGCTGCGTCTGCACCTCCGCCCGCCCGGTAGGAAGCCTGCAGTTTAGACAGTGATGGCCTGCCCTAGGGTGCGGCTGGTGGTCACAGCGGACGACTTTGGTTACTGCCCGCGGCGTGATGAGGGCATCGTGGAGGCCTTCATGGTGGGGGCCGTGACCAGCGTGTCCCTGCTAGTCAACGGCGCCGCCGCGGAGAGCGCGGCGGAACTAGCCCGCCGGTGAGGGGCGCCCCCTTCCCCCGGGTGGGCCGCGGCGGTCCCGGGGCACTCGGCGCCCAAGCCCGATCCCCTGCTCCCTCACAGGCACCGCATCCCCACAGGCCTCCATGCCAATCTGTCCGAGGGTCGACCAGTGGGTCCTGCCCGCTACGGGACCTCCTCGCTGCTTGGCCCCGAGGGCTTCTTCCTCGGCAAGATGGGGTTCCGGGAGGCGGTGGCGGCCGGCGAAGTGGCCCTGCCCCAGGTGGGAAGCGCGGCTGAGGGGAGCTCAGTCCTTGGGAGCTGTTAGGGACGGAGCGGGCGCCCGTCCTCCACACGCTTGAGGGTCCCCACCCCCGAGATGATCTTAGACCCCGAGATTTGGGATCGCCTCTCTCCAGGTGCGGGAAGAGCTGGAGGCGCAGCTGAGCCGCTTTCGGGAGTTGCTGGGCAGGGACCCTACGCACGTGGACGGGCACCAGCACGTGCACGTGCTGCCAGGTGGGGAACTCTGGGGGGCATCCTCCAGGCAGCCGGAAGTGCGCAGGGATACTTCCTGGGGAAAGGATGCTTTTCACCAATGAAGGAGCTTCCATCTAGAAACTAGCCGCTGTTGACTCCGCAGGCGTGTGCCAGGTGTTCGCTGAGGTGCTGCAGGCCTACGGGGTGCGTTTCACGCGTGTCCCGATAGAGCATGGCGTGGGCGGCTGTGCATGGTTGGAGGCCCCGGCGCGTGCTTTTGCCTGCGCGGTGGGGCGTGATGCACAGGCAGCTACCGGCCCCTTTTCTCGGCACGGCCTGCGGTAAGGCACCCCTGGTTCGTCCCCTTCCCCAGTGGCAGGCGCGTGGGTGCCCCTGCCCACCCCTCATCCCCTCCCCTCATGGCAGGTGTGTGGGTGCCCCTGCCTGACCCCCATCCCTTTCCTCACTGGCAGGCGTGGGGTGCATCTGCCCAGCCCCTGCCCCCTTCCCTAGTGACTGGTGTGTGGGTGCCCCTACCCGCCTCCTGCCCACTTTCTGAGTGGCAGACGTGGGTGCCCCTGACCGCTCTGCCCCTTCTTCAGTGGCAGGCGCGTAGGTGCCCCTGCCTGCCTCCATCCTTTCTCAGTGGCAGGGGTGGGCGCCCAGGTGTCTACTCTGGCCCACCCATCTTGCCCCTGCCAGACCGTCATCTGACGCCTCCTGCACTGCAGGTGGACTGACACCTTTGTGGGCCTGAGCACATGCGGCCGCCACATGTCCGCACAACGTGTGGCCGGGGCACTGGCCCGGGCCCTGGAAAGTGTCCCCGCCAACCAAGCGCTGACAGCGGAACTGATGGCACACCCCGGTTACCCCAGCGTGCCACCAGCGGGGGGCTGCGGAGAGGGCCCAGACGCCTTCTCCTGTTCCTGGGAGCGGCTACACGAGCTGCGTGTCCTCACTGAACCCTCACTGCGTGCACAACTGGCCCAGGAAGGCGTGCAGCTCTGTGCCCTGGAGGCCCTGGATGCCAAGAGGTTCGGGGAGGGGCCCTTTGGCGAGGCCTCGCTGGAGCCCTCTCGGGAACCTTCCCTTTGCTGACTGTGATGACATCCGAGCCCTGAAAACCCCACCACATGGCACTGTGCAGGACACAGAGCATTAAAAAACTGTGCTCCGGCTCGCCTCTCTGGGTCCCTTCTGACTTGCTGGCCCTGTCACAGCTTCTTGAATGGAAGTCACTATTAATAAAACAGGACATATGTTTTCTAAGTTGGGAGAGTTATTAACTATGCCAGGAAAACCTCACAGGAACAAAAATGGGAACCCCCAGTTTCCAAGTCAATATTCCGAGGGAAGACCTGCAAAATCCATCCTCCTGCCCCTTTCCTTCTTAGCTTTTTTCTTTTGGTGTGAGATGAGAAAAAATTATTGCATCAGGTTATCGTTTTGTTTTAAAATCTATATCCCTCTCAGTTTATGCTGATAAAAAGTCTTTCTGAGATGTATTCACAGGAATGTGAGATTTTAGTTCTTTCAGAGTATACATAAATTTCCTATATTTGAAAAATTTAAACGCTGATAAAGACTAAAAAAAAATATTTAAGAACTTACACCAACTAGGACTTTCCCCAAATTTCAAAATTATTTTCCTAATCTAATTCAGTTTATTACCTTTGGGTTATATGTGTGTATCTTTCCTCTCTCCTTTTAAAAATTCTATATTGTTTTGCATACAAAATTTGTATACATAGGGTTTCATTAGTGTACATTATGGTCCTACATATTCTTTTATTCATATTACATTTCATACGATCATTCCCATACACTGTTTTATTAAAATTGCCATTGATCTATGCCCACTGTCACCACTTCTTTTCAGGACCCCACAAGATAAGATATATGTGTATAGCTTTTAAAAAAGCAGGTTTGGAGTTGAAGCATTGGGAGGAACCATCATTGCAGGAACCATGTTGCAGCCAAACATCTTGCTCATTTGTACACCAGGGGTTGGAAAAACCACATTAGGCAAAGAGCTTGCTTCAAGATCAGGACTAAACCACATTAATGTGGGTAATTTATCTGAAGAAGGGCAGCTATATGATGGCCATGTTTAAGAATATGACTATCCCATTTTAGATAAAGATCTACTAGTGGATGAATTACAAAACCAAATGAAAGCAAGTGGAGTTACTGTTGACTACCTTAGTTGTGATTTCTTTCCCAAATGCTGGTTTTGTTGTAGACCAGTACAAAGGAAAAGATAGGAACACCACCCACAAATGGAGGGAGAAGAGAGTGAAGGCAGGGGCCCCAGAGCCCAGTGTCTCTCTGATGTTTATTGAGAATTGCCAGGAAGTAAATCACAGAAAATTCTTTATGAATGAAGCTGGGTTTTTTTTTCTGCTGACAACCTTATACTTATCTCAGGAATGATGATTTTACAAATACAGACATTTAACGGAGGCACTGTCAGGTCAGCCTTGGTGCCTAATACCTGTGACCTATCTTGGGAGAAATACTACCTAATTCTCTGACACAAGAATTCCAGCTTGTATTTGTGCCTCCAATTCCTGTTTAAGCATTTGGTTTTCCACATGATTTCGTATAGTTTTGTGCTGAGAACAGATAGCCATATACTGTACAAAGGAAACCAAAAAAAAGTCAAGAAAATATTCAGTGTAAAATTTACTAAATTCTTTATGAAGAAGCCAGGGCATCTTCCCCCCCACAAAAAAAAAATACATTCTTTTATTGGAACAAGGTTCCTGACTGATGCAGTGATGCATATATCAAATATAAAGACTTGTGCAGAGAAATTACATACTATCCATCTAAAGTTTTGTAACACTTTGCCTCCTGATGGAATAGTTCCATTTCAAAAGTTTTATACATTAAAAGCTTTGAATTAAACCAGGCTGGCTGTTGATTCATCTCTGAAAACATAAGTGGCATTGATTTAGCTACTGTATTTTACAGCATTAAAAAAGTTTATGTATTAGGTAGTTTCTCAAAAATTACTTGATGCACAATGGCATTTATCAGACTGAGCAGTGTCACCCAGATTCACAGAAATGTTTCTTTTGATAACTTTATGGAGAGCTGGCATTTGAGACAGGTATTCCTGAGTTTCTCACCACCAACATGGACTCTGGCTGTGTTCTGAGGCACATCACCACATTACAGTGCCAGTGAAGACATGCCAGCAACTGCCAAGGGTGTCTCCACATTAGAGAACCAGGTCTGATAGTGGTGGCAGGCATCATTATCATTACATCCAAGAAATAAAGGGCCATTTTAATAAAAACTGTCAATTTGAGATAAAAATCAAGGGTACACATACAAAAACTTTGAGTTTTATACAATCTAAATCCCCAGTGATGTGAATATGTCCAGAAACCTGAGGCAAATTGTACGCAGTGTTTCCCGGTTGGAAGTCTTTAATATTGACTCAAATCTCTACTTAATCCACATAGCCCTGAGGTCAAATCGCAAAATGCATATAAAAAAAAAAGTTAAGATGACAAGGATATATTAAACAAGTCAAACTCAGAGGCCTTATCTATTCTGAGAGAAAGCATCAAATCCTCATGTACACATTTAGTTTTATTTTAACAAAGCAACTTGTACACTTGTAACGTTTAAAACTGAGCATCATGTTTTTTCCTTTGTCCAAAATGTGTTTTTTTAAAATTTATTTTACTAATGAATATGTACAGAGATTTTGGATTTCAATTCATTCATTGTTGCCCTATTTTCTCTACCCCTCCCCCACTTTGCTCTTTCCCCCCCCCCCTTAAAACTCTGTTTTAAAGGGAGCTCTGGTGGCCTAGTGGCAAGACACTGCACTGCAATCCCAGAGGTACACAGTTCAAATCCACCAGATGCTTTGCTGGAGAAGGAGGGGGCAATCTCCTCCTGTACCAGTCAGATCTGATTTGACGGTACACGTCAAAATAATAAAGTAATAATAATAAAAAAGTCTGTTTTAATTGTCGTATTGCCACAGAGCTTGTCAAACCAGTTCTGATTAATCTCCTTTGTCAGTGTGTCCTTTGCTATTCCCTATCACTCCTCCCTGAGAGATTTCACCCTGATTCATAAGGAAAAGGGGATGGCGTATTAGTTACTTCCTGTTGAAAAGGGACACTGTAGGTTTCAGGATGAAGATCTTCTCTCACTACTCTAAAGGCAATAGGAAACACTTAAAGACTATTGTGGAGATTGATTTTGGAATTTAAATGCACTGTTATCAATTGTGCTTAGCCATACATGGTCATATCCTTGAAGATGCATCATGGAACTGTTGCAGCCTAGAAGACACAAATTTAACAAGTTAAAAGTACATGAGTAAAAAATTAAAAGCAATAATATTCCAAGTAGAGATTCTAACAGTGGCACAAATCAAGTTACAGAGGGAAGGTGGTTGTTATGTGCCGTCAAGTTGCTTGCAACTCATAGCGACCCTAAGTACAACAGCCCTAAACCCTGCTCTATCCTGTGCCAATCTCACTGCCCATCCCGATTGCCCCAGTCACTGAATCAATCCACCTCACAGAGGGTCTTCCCCTTCTGCACCGTCCCTCCACCCTCCCAAGCATGATGTTCCTCTCCAAGGACCTCTCCCTCCTTACAACATGTAAAAAAGTATGTCAGACGAAGCCTCAGAATCCTTGCCTCCAAGAAGCAGCCTGGTTTAACCCTCTCCAGGATGAATCTGTTTTCTTGGCAGTCCATGGTACCCTCAATACTCTTCTCCAACACCACAGCTCAAAGGCATAAATTCTCTTTCTATCCTCCTTAGCCATTGTCCAACTCTCTGATGCATAACAAGTGATTACAAAGACCATAGCTATTGGAGGCCTGGCTAACTTGCAAAGCAAGATTAGCAATGCATTGTAAAACCAGTCTGACTGATTCCACCTTGGCTAGAACATCTGCTTGGCAGTAAACAACTCATGGAAGCAGGATGCTAATGAATAGGTAGTGACCAAAGGTCTCAGAATTGAGGAATGTGATATCTTTGTTTTGTGTTGAGGTCTGGGAATGTTTGACCTGACAGTAAACATCTCTGACAGATAAGAGATAATGCGATTACCCCTGCAGGCATGTTTCTAGAAACCTATATATACTTGGTCTAGAGAATAAAGGTTTGCTATTCATCACCAGCATTTAGCCTCTCTGTGTCTTCATTTAATCTTCATCCCTTCACTCTGTGGAACTGTTTCGATATATCAGGCCTGGACTCCGATACATAGCCTGTATCAGACACACCTTAGTCTCCAGAGACACACTGTTGGCTCTTGAGTACCCTGGAGAGGTCCCTAATAGCAGACTTTCCCATCACAATATGTTTTTTTATTTCCTGGCTACTGGTGCCAAGAGTGTTGACCGTGGAGCCAATCGTTGAAGCATCCTCCTTTGTTTCCAGCTGGAAGCTGGGGCCTGTCAGTCCTGTCAACCACGAGGACCTGATGTGGGCCACCTTTGGCCAAGTGTCCTTCAGATCCACACTTAAAGGAAGTGAGTGGGAGCTTCCTCTCTACTCCCTTGCCTATCTGTGGCTCTCGTCTGTGACACTGTCTACTGAAGTGGCCCAGCTTTCCACAGTGGAAGCAATTCTGACCTCCTTTATTACCTTTGGGTGGCATTGTTTATGAGTAAATACTTCCTTTACCTGACACAGGCCCTAAACTGGCAGCAATAGCTGTCCCAATAATTTTGGCCATTCTCTGGTCTTTTCTCTTCCCTCTAGATCCCAGTTGTTAAAAGAGGGAAAAATTTAAACAAATATATAACAAATAATTCTTCAATATAATCTTTTACATTTTAAGGCTAGAAATATTAACAATATGATCATTTCCAATCCAAAGATACATGTTCCAATGCAGTTCCTATTTTCCATAAATGGTTTTGGTAAGATGAATATTGTAAATGTGGATACAGTTCCACTATTCCTCCTCCATGCCATGATATAGTGTTATTAGCATGAGCAGTTATAAATCCATTGCCTTCCTTACTCTAACTTAAATTTTTTTAATTTAAATTTATTATTAATTTCAGTAAAAATTTACAGAGACTTTGGATTTCCATTCATTCAC